GAAGGCGATCGCATGGCACCTCTCCTAACTGCTCGGGGCAATGGAGGAAGGAAGGGGAGGAGGAAGAGGAGGAGCAGAAGCAGGAGCAGGAGCAGCAGAAGCAGGAGGTGGAGGAGGAACAGGAGCAGGAGGGAGATGGTCAGGCAGGGGCAGAAGGAGAGCTGTTCCTACTCATCCGCCACCGTGCCCTTGAGGCACGACTTGGAGTGTCATCGGGTCCTTGGCCCAATCCCGTAAGCCGCAGCCCTCAATCCTAACGATCAATCCGCCACCGTGCCCTTGAGGCACGACTTGGAGTGTCATCGGATCCTTGGCCCAATCCTTAAGCCTCAGTCCCCCCTGAAAAAGATTTACTCTGGATGGGGATATAATCGCCTCTCCCTTGGATCCGCTGGGGGGTTCGGCACGTGCTGTCGGAACGGGTGGAGGGGGGTTGGAGGAGGAGGAGGAGGAGGAGCAGAAGCAGGAGAAGGAGCATGAGGAGGAGGAGGAGGAGGAGGAGGAGGAGGACGAGGAGGACGAGGAGGAGGAGGAGGAGGAGGAGGAGGAGGAGGAGGAGTAGGAGAGGGGGGGGGATGGGCAAGCTCCGTCAGAAGGTTAGTCGCCCACCCCTCGATGAATATCCCACCCAGGGTAAGGGGCCCAGGCCCGAAATGGCCAAATCTGCCTGGGGCTGTCGCGTGCCCCCTGGGGGCGGGTCGCGGCTTTTTCGCGTGAGTGGTCTCCGGAGCCAGCAAGGCTCCAGGACAGGTCACGAGGGCCCCAAAGAGGCATCGCCCGGACGCTCCAAGAGGGCCCCGAATCGCCGAACCAGCGGTCCAAGACGCCCAGGATGGCCCCAGGAAGGCCCAAGAAGCCTTCCGGGTGCCCCAAGAGAGCCCCGAGAGCCTTCCCAAGAGGGCCCAGACAGGCCAAAATCTGTGTTCACGGTGTCCCAAGCATCCTGCGGTGTTGGGTCCTCTTCTTGAAGAGAGGAAACGCCCGTCCGAGTCTCTGTACCCCGCCCCATCCGTCAGCAGGGCAATTTCGGCACAACCCTCACACGCTTCGTGCCCCCACAGGGAGCTCCGCCGAAGGCTCCTGTGGCAGCACTCGCATGCGTCCCAAAGCCAATTCCACCACCCTTTAAATACAAGTGTCTTACCGAGTTGTCTCTTCCAACCCCCCTTCTTCTCCTGCGGGGAGGGGTGTACCCCTCCCCCGACCACTCCCCCTGGACCTGAACGGGGCGCCCCGCGACCCATTGGAGCGTCCAAGATGGCCCATGATGGCTCCAAGCGGGCCTCAGACAGCCCAAGATGGCCTCTAGGACGGTTCCAAGCTGGCTCAAGATTCCTCAAGATGGATTCCAAGATGCTCCTAGAGGCTCCAAGACCGCCTTAAGACGCCTTAAGACGGCTCCAAGTGGCCTCGGAGCACCCCCCAAGAGAGCCCCCTGAGAGGCCAAGATCCTTCCAAAACCTACGGAAAATAGGTGTGTGCTGCTTTCTCGCCTTGTCATTTCCGATGGCATTCCGAAGCCTCGAGATGGCTCCAATATGGCCCAAGAGGGCACCAAGAGAGACCCAAGAGGGTCTCAAGACAGCCCCAAGAGCGCCCAAGAGCGTTACAAGAGCGCTCCAAGAGGGCCTCAATAGGCGAGTTTAGAGGCGCTCGAGGGGCGCTTGTAATTCACACCCTTTTGTTCGATCGATGTCCTAAGTGCAAGATGGCCTCAAGAGGGCCTCCAGGACTCCCAAGAGAGCCCCACGAGGCCCCCAAGAGGCCCCCTAAGAGGTGCCTAAACGGCCAAAAGAGGGCTCAGGAGGCACCCCTCAACAGCACCCAAGACGCCCCAAGAGGCACCCGAGACCGCCAAGAGGCATGCAAAACGGCCCAAGAGGCCAGCAAGGAAGCCGACGGGCATCCCGGAGGCCTCTGGCCTTCTGCTCGCCCTCCTCCTCCTCCTCCTCCTCCTCCTCCTCCTCCTCCTCCTCCTCCTCCCTCCTTCCTCCTTCCTCCTCCTCCTCTCCTCATCCTCCTCCTCCTCCTCCTCTCCTCCTCCTGCTTCATCTGCCGATTCTCCGTATATCTCCAACTCGTCCTCCTCCTCCTCCTCCTCTCCTCTCCTCCTCCTCCTCCTCCCTCCTCATCATTCATCATCATATCACATCATCATCATCATCATCATCATCCATCATCATCATCATCATCATCATCATCATCATCATCATCATCATCATCATCATCATCAATCATCATCATCATCATCATCATCATCATCATCATCATCATCATCATCATCATCATCATCATCATCATCATCAGCATCATCTCATCATCATCATCATCATCATCATCACATCATCATCATCATCATCATCATCGTCATCATCATCCCCCTCATCATCATCATCATCATCACATCGTCATCATCATCACCATCTCATCATCATCATCATCATCATCATCATCAGCATCATCATCATCATCATCATCATCATCAGCATCAGCATCAGCATCAGCATCAGCATAGCATCATCATCCTCATCATCATCAGCATCAGCATCATCATCCAGCATCAATCATCACCACCATCATCATCAGCATCATCATCGTCATCATCATCATGATCAACAGCAGCAGCATCAGCATCAGCATCAACATCGTCATCAGCATCACTAGCATCAGCAGCGTCAGCAGCAGCGATAGCAGTGTCAACAACATCATCATCATCATCATCATCATCATCATCATCACCATCATCATCATCAGCAGCAGCAGCATCATCACCGTCATCACCATCATCACCATCATCAGCATCATCATCATCAGCATCAGCATCAGCATCGTCAGCATCATCATCATCAGAATCATCAGCATCATCATCATCATCATCATCATCATCATCATCATCATCATGGGGCATCAGCATCATCGTCATCAGCATCAGTATGAGCATCATCAGCAGCATCATCAGCCTCATCCCCCTCCTTATGGTTGTCAGCATCCTCATTATCATCGTCCTACTCATCGTCATCATCATCATCAGCATCATCATCAGCAGCAGCATTGGCATCAGCATCGTCACCATCATCAGCAGCATCATCAACCGCAGCATCAGTATGACCATCATCATTATAAGCATCATCATTTCATCATCATCATCATCATCATCATCATCGTCATCATCATCATCATCATCATCAGCATCATCATCCTCCTCATCATCATCCCCATGAGCATCATCAGCATCATCATCGGCATCAGCATCATCATCTGCATCATCAGCATCATCAGAATCAGCATCATCATCATCGTCATCATCATCAGCATCATCATCCTGCTCTTCCAACTCCTCCATTCACTCCTCCATTCACTCCTCCATCCTCCTCCTCATTCGGCAGATAACGGATGCCCTCGATCTTGCTCCTACACTTCCCTGGTCACCCCAACTCTCATGGGCATCGGTTCTGGATGGGCAGGTGGGGGCACGCGAAGCAGCGTCAACAATTTCGGCCCACCCCTCACACGCCTCGTCCCCCCACAGGGAGCTCCGCCGAAGGCTCCTGTGGCAGCACTCGCATGCGTCCCCCAGCCAATGTCGGCCCCCCACCCCTCGCAGGTTCCGCGGCCCTATACGGAGCTACACCGAAGGCCCCAGCGGCAGGGTCCGCATGGCGGCCCCGCGCAAATTTCGGTCCTCACTTCGGTCCATATCTCAGAAGTTTCGTGGCCCCACCGAGGGGCTCCACCGAAGACCCCAGCGACAGAGTCAGCAAAGGCCTCTTCGGCACACCCCTCACACGCCTCGTGGCCCCGCAAGGAGCTCCACCTAAGGCTCCTGTGGCAGCGCCCACATGTGTCCCCCTGCCAATTTCGGCGCACCGTTCACAAGCTTCGGGCCCCCATAAGGAGTTCCGCCGAAGGCTCCTGAAGCAGCGCTCGCATGCATCCCCAGCCCACTTCGGCACACCCCTCACACGTCTCGTGGCCCCGCAAGGAGCTCCACCGAAGCTCCTGTGGCAGCGCTCGCATGCGTCTCCCAGACAAATTCGGCACACCGTTCACACGTTCCGTGCCTCCACAGGGAGCTCCGCCGAAGGCTCCTGTGGCAGCGCTCGTGTGCGTCCCCCAGCCCATGTCGGCACACCCCTCACATGTGTCGGGGTCCCACAGGGAGCTCCAGCGAAGGCTCATGTGGCAGCGCTCGCATGCGTCCCCCAACCCATGTTCGCGCACCCCTTTTCGGTGTCCCACAGGGAGCTCCACCGAAGGCTCCTGTGGCAGCGTTCATGCGTCCCCCCGTTGACTTTTCGGCACACCCCTCACACGTCTCGCGGACCCCATCCGCATGCCCCGTGCCCCACCCGCCCCGCGGCGCGATATCTACCAGGAGGTGGTCATACCCTGCGTGATACGCAGCTGCATGTGGCTGGGTCCTTCGCCCGGCTACTTCTGATGTCTCGGGGGCCCTCGACGTTGAGCCCAAGACGGCCCAGCAGGAGGCTCCCAAGACGCCCCAACAGGCCCCAAAGAGGGGGGCCAGACGGCCCAAGAGGGCCCCAAGGCGGCCCCCGAGGCGCCCAAGACGGCCCACGAGGGCCCAGAGACAGCCCCAAGAAGGGCCCAGGAGGGCGAACCAGCGAGAATCCGAGCCCTCCGCCCCAGGAGGCCCCCGGGAGGCCCGGGGGGGAGGCGCAGCAGCAGCAGCAGCAGCAGCAGCAGCAGCAGCAGCAGCAGCAGCAGCAGCAGCAGCAGCAGCCTGACGCTGCGAGCGCTCGCGCCCGCGGCGTGCCCAAAAGAAGCAGCAGCAGCAGCAGTCAGCAGCAGCAGCAGCCAGCAGCAGCAGCCAGCAGCAGCACAGCAGCACAGCAGCAGCCAGCAGCAGCAGCAGCAGCAGCAGCTCCCCGCGGCCCGGTCCCGTCGAGCGGCTTCAGGTGGGCCACCATGTGGCGCGGGATGCTGTCCCTCTCCGCCTGCTCCGTGGCGCCCCGGTCCCCGAACGACAGGTGTCTGACCTCGCGCCCACGGCGGGAAAGGGGCGGCGAGCCCACGGCGGGAAAGGGGAGAGAGGGTCGGGTGCGAGTCGGGGAGAGGAGGAGGAGGAGGAGGAGGAGGAGGAGGAGGAGGAGGAGGAGGAGGAGGAGGAGGAGGAGGGAGGAGGAGGAGGAGGAGGAGGAAGAAGAAGAGGACGAAGAAGAAGACGAAGAAGAAGAAGAAGAAGAAGACGAAGAAGAAGAAGAAGAAGAAGAAGCGGAGGAAGCTTCGAGGATGAAGGCTCTCGTGTGGTGCTAACCGACGTTGGGCCAGTTGGTGTTGTTGAGCGGTGCCCCTGGGCCGTGCGCGCACGGCTCATGCGAGTCATCGAGGTTTGGCTTCGGGGCAGGGCTGCTGAGCGCGAAGGTGCCTGAGCTGGAAAACGGATGCAACCTCGACCCCATCATGTCGCTGCTTCGAGGGACCAGTCTCACGCCAGAGGAAAAAGGATATCTTCGCTCTGTCGTGGCTGGAGGCTAGGAGCCGCAGCACAGACAGTGGCAGCACACACACACACACACACACACAAGCACACACACACACACACGCACGCACGCACGCACGCACACTCACAAGGCGGGAACGAGAATGACCTGAAAGCAAATATACTACAGAAGAAGCTTGCACTTTAGTATACACGACTACACAAGGAAGCATAGTGAGATAGAGTAAAGGCGATCGGCAAAAGCACTCAGAGGGTTTCCCCGGAGCGTAAGGGCTCTGGAGCAAAGGCTATCTTTGTGTCGGAGGGCCTAGGGCTCTACCAATGGTGAACGTTATCGTGCTCGGCGTGTCGAGATTGGGCGGAGGGAGAGGGGGAGGGATGGGGTCTGGATCTGGACCTCTGCTCAATGCGACTGTCTGCAGCAGTGCGTTCTATGAGGGAGACTCCACCTGCTTGACACAGGCGCTCAAAACAGCCATGGGAGGGGCAGGAGAGCCCAGAATCGAATTGACGACAAATCGGATCTGCAATCGAAATGAATCATATCGGCGGAAATCGGCAGCCGAGTCGGGAAAAGTCGAATCGGCGGAAATCGGCAGGCTAGTAGGCCTCCATGGAGAAATCGAAGCCGTCGGAATCCGACATCGAATCGAATCGGAATCGGAAGGCGGCGGGAGGGGGGATGCGAGGGCCCGCGCCGTTCGGCAAAGCAACGAATTCGCCGGCCCAACGGGCCAGGGCGTGCGAAGATCTCCGGCAACAGGTAAACAGTAAACAATATTTCTTGTTCGCGCGCGCGGGGCGGCCCCTAGGAGTCCCCGGGCGAAAAGTACCCCGGCAGGTCCCCGGGAGGGTGGGGGCCAGAGATGCCGGACTTCCTGGGCGCGGCCCTGGAGGCCTCTGGAGCGCTCCACGAGCGCTCCAAGGAGACGCCAAATATGTGGCAGGCCCAGCAGCCTGAAGCCAAGAGCGCCCCAAGACGGCCCAGATGGCCTCAAGACGGCCCAAGATGCTCCCAAGACGCCCCAAGATGCGTCCAAGAGACCTCCGAAGAGGCCCCCAAGAAGCCAAAATGTATGATTTTCATTGCTCTTTTGAAGATTTTGGCGTTCTCGCCTCTGCGGCTTCCTAGCGCTCCAAGACGGCCCAAATAGCCCTCAATATCGCCCCAATACGGCCTACGAGGGTTCAAGACCGTTCCGAAACGACCCCAGAGGGCCCTAAGAGACCCCCAGAAACCTCCAAGATGGCCCAAGATGCCCCCAAGACGGCTGCAAGACCGGGCCCCGACGGGGGACCGGAACGCACATTTCGCGCTCTAAGCCGCAAGACGTCCCCAGGAGACCTCATAACGCCCCCGAAGAGGCCTCAAGACGGCCCAAGATGCTCCCAAGACGCCCCAAGATGCGTCCAAGAGACCTCCCAAGAGGCCCCCAACAAGCCAAAATCGACGATTCTCATTTGTTTTTTATGATTTTGGCGTTCTCGCCTCTTCGGTTTACTAGCGCTTTAAGACGGCTCAAAGAGCCCTCAATATCGCCCCAATGCGGCCTACGAGGGTTCCAGACCGTTCCGAAACGACCCCAGAGAGCCCTAAGAGACCCCCAGAAACCTCCAAGATGGCCCAAGATGTATCCAAGACGGCTCCAAGACCGGGCCCCGACGGGGGACCGGAACGCACATTTCGCGCTCTAAGCCGCAAGACGTCCCCAGGAGACCTCATAACGCCCCCAAGAGGCCCCCGAGAGGCCCCAAGAGGCCCCAGGAGGCCCCAGGAGGCTCTAGAAATACTGCCAAGAGGCCCTCGAGAGGCTTCCCAAGAGACCCAAACGGCCTCTAAAAAACGCGTCTTGTCCACGACCAAACTTGGCTCCCAAATGTCCCCCTCCTCCTCCTCCTCCTTCTCGCTCGCCACGAGCACGCCAACAGAAAGCACAATTGATACAAGATTTTCCCCGCCTCCCTCCTCCTCCTTTTCGCTCGCCCCGAGCTCACCAACATATGGTACACCGCGGCGACGACGACGACGACGACGACGACGACGACGACGACGACGACGACGACGACGACGGCGACGCCGACGACGACGACGGCGGCGACGAGGATGCTTCCCGAAGCGGCGGAGGCCACAGCCGCTCGAGATCGTCCGGCCAGGCTGACAGAGGGTTCCGTCGAGCTCTCTCTCAGCTCCCCTCCCCGACCATAGGCATGACCGTATGCGAACGGATCCACAATCTGATCATTTTCTTAGGGTGGAGGGCTCAGGGTGAAATCCATGGGCTTTTGCACCTCGAAAACCAATCCGTCTTGTGATTCACCTCTTGCAGATTCAAGCCTAGAGCATCCATCGAAACGGCATTTCAGATTTCACCCTTTGCCCTCCACCCAAAGAAAATGCTCGGACAATTGCAAACGATGCATCCAAGTACGAAGACCACTGACTCCAACACCCTCGCACCACAAACAGAGCACCCCTAAACACGCCGAGGCAACCGCAGGCAAAGCCCGACCAGACCCTGGAACCTCCAGAAAGCGGGGCTCCATTGGCGGACCGCGCCAAACCACCATCCGCGAGCCCCATGAGAGCAGACGATGGCGCCACAAACCACTGGCAGCCGCAAACGTCGAACCAACTACACCGGACTGGTGCACCCACCACCGAAAACAACGTCCCCCCCCCCATCAGCGCAGCATGGCTCACGGACGCGCAGCCAAACCCCAGCGATTACGCATTATGGGCCGGCGGAATGAGCGAAGCGATTAAATAAGAAAAAGGCCCCGTTCTCGTGCTGCCATAGGGGCGCCGAGCGAGAAGCGAAGAAGCTGCCCTGGCCCCGGCGAGCCTCGGAAGCCTCGGCGACGCAGACCTGAAGCCAAAAGTCCTCACCTCGGCGTCTCCACCGTAGACCGGAGGGCCGTCCAGTGGCGGCACGGAGCTCTTCGAAAAAGATCCGCACGCGAAGGGGGAGTGCGACGTGAAGGCGTGTCACGATTTCGTCACACGGCTCGTCGAGAACGAGGATTAGCTTGCGTGCCCGGCAGGCGCAATCTGTTATGCATGTTGGTCCCCTCCTCTTCCTCATGCTCCTCCTCCTCCTCCGCCTCCTCCCGCTCCTCCTCCTCCTCCGTCTCCTCCTCCTCCTCCTCCTCCTCCTCCTCCTCCTCCTCCTCCTCCTCCTCCTCCTCCTCCTCCTCCTCTTGCTCTCCTCAGCTGGATCGACGTTTCACCAATGGACGAATGCGGTTGCTTGAGCTTGTTCCCAACCCTCCTGTGCTGTTGGGCACTCGTTTTGAATAGAGCAGTGTGGTCTCCACCTCCTCCTCCTCCTCCTCCTCGTCATCATCATCCTCCTCCTCTCCTCCTCTCCTCCTTCTCTCCTGTCTCCTGTGTTCCCTTCTCCCCTTCTCTCGTGCCGTCCGCGATCTGCGCATCTGTCGCCACTTTCGTGGGCTCCTGGGAGGCCCAGCGGAAGTACGTCCCACGCGGATCCCCTCGGTACATCGCCGCCCCCTGAGGGGGTTGCGATCTGCGCAACTGTCGCCACTTTCGTGGGCGCCTGGGAGGCCCAGCGTAGGTACGTCCCACGCGGATCACCTCGGTACCTCGCCGCCCCCTGGGGGCTTGCGATCTGCGCAACTGTCGCCACTTTCGTGGGCTCCTGGGAGGCCCAGCGGAGGTACGTCCCACGCGTACCACCTCGGTACCTCGCCGCCCCCTGAGGGGGTTGCGATCTGCGCAACTGTCGCCACTTTCGTGGGCTCCTGCGAGGCCCAGCGGAGGTGCGTCCCACGCGGATCATCTCGGTACCTCGCCGCCCCCATGGGGGGCTTGCGATCTGCGCAACTGTCGCCACTTTCGTTGGCTCCTGAGAGGCCCAGCGGAGGTACCTCGGTACCTCGCCGCCCCCTGGGGGCTTGCGATCTGTGCAACTGTCGCCACTTTCGTTGGCTCCTGGGAGGCCCAGCGGAGGTACGTCCCACGCGGACCACCTCGAGACCTCGCGGTGCCCTGGGGGGCTTGCGATCTGCGCAACTGTCGCCACTTTCGTGAGCTCCTGCGAGGCCCAGCAGAAGTACGTCCCACGCGGATCACCTCGGTACCTCTCGGCGCCCTGGGAGGCTGCGATCTGCGCAACTGTCGCCGCTTTCGTGGGCTGCTGGGAGGCCCAGCGGAAGTACGTCCCACGCGGATCACCTCGGTACCTCGCCGCCCCCTGGGGAGCTTGCGATCTGCGCAACTGTCGCCACTTTCGTGGGCTGCTGGGAACCCCAGCAGAGGTACGTCCCACGCGGATCACCTCGGTACCTCGCCGCCCCCTGGGGGGCTTGCGATCTGCGCAATTGTCGCCACTTTCGTGTGCTGCTGGGAGGCCCAGCGGAGGTGCGTCCCACGCGGATCACCTCGGTACCTCGCCGCCCCCTGGGGGGCTTGCGATCTGCGCAACTGTCGCCACTTTCGTGGGCTGCTGGGAGGCGCCTGCTTTTGGGTGAGTATTCGCCCCGTTATGCACCTTATGTGTTTGCCTCTTTCAGCGC